AAAAAATAAAATGAACAATAGCCTGGTGAGTAGCTGTTAAGTCTATATTCCACACTCATCATTCTTAATTAGATCATTATACAAGATCAAGTAAGGAACAAGTTAAATACTTAACTACACCCTGATATTTAAGGGGTGCAACCAATATCAAAATGCAATTATACAGTTATATTCTTATCTACATAACCATACATAACCATAGGCGTGTACAGAATGCAACCGATGTCTGTTTATCTTTTCAGATGCGGTTAACCACAAATTCCTTATCTCCAGCTGCAGGAAACCAAGGAAACCGGAAGGCGGGACTAAGGACTGAAAGGACGCTTCTGATTGGCTGAAAAATGGACAAAGGGGGCGTGGCCACCTGTCAAATTAAGTTTGATGAGAGGTGGTTTATCTTTTCTCTCTGATATGTCCTGTCAACTGTAGTAGTGTGTAAAGTCATCACCGTGTGCCTTTTAGGAAAACTGTTTGGCTATGGCATCAATGGTGTGACTATTAATTCTTCCTAAAGGAGACCATAAAGATAACCTTGACCTTGGCTATTAGCCAAAAGGTGTTGGTCAAGCATGACTGGTTGTAAGTAGAGTTCTGAAACGTATAAAAGATGTGTGTTTTCCTTGTTTGTTGGTTCCTCTGAAGATGGACCCTGACTTTGATTTTGTACAAATCAAGTCATATTTTGCTGGAAAGAGGACCTCAGACTTTTTTTTTTTTTTAATTACAGATTTTTGCTATGGCATATACACACACAAAAAGGTGAAATTGTAAGTTTATTTTCCACAAAAGATTATGATATTTACAAAAAAAATACTATTTGCAATAAATACAGATGACTGTGAAAGATAAAGAGAATTCAACATAATTTTAATAACTTCCTTTTGCAGTGCATTCTTCATTTTCACCCTTCCTCTTTCACCAAGCAAGCAATCAAAATAACTTGAACTGTAATATCATGCATTAGCCTCACCCCTTCTACCTCGTGTGAAGTCTTTCTTCCACAATGCACTGTAGTTATTCACCAAATTATTTGTCTTCTGTCATCCTCTGTCTCTTCCTCCAGTCTTTTGTCCTCCCTCAGGCACCATACACACTCTCATTACTGTATGTCATGTAGAGAAACAGGTCTTCTTCATGGTGCTCCTGGAACAACACAAAGCAGAGAATGATGCATCATTTAGCACGATGAGAGTACTCAACAGTGTTCTAATGGACTGACATATTCCTATCACATCAAACTTATTTTGACACAATAATGCTGTCAGCCCTTTATCCAACTACCTAATTTGTTTAGTTGGTAAAAATAAAGCTTCTTATAAAGTCATTTAACAAAAATTACCCTGAATACATGTTGGGTTTACACTTTTTTAATATCTGATAATATCAAAATACACAGAATGGCGATAATGTATTTTCTGAAGTTCAGGAGCGGAACCTGACCCAAACTACGCTCTTTCATTCTCACACTATTTAAACCCACTGAAGTAACCATACTTCTGCTTCCACTTTTTGCTTGCCCGCACCCCACCCCCCAATTTTTTTACATTCTAATCTTTCCCCCTATATTCTTCTGTCCCTGCTGTGGGTCTGCCAGTGCCTGAGAGTGGTGCAGACCTTCCCCTTCCCCAAAACCACCAAGTTCACAAGCAACCAAGTCAAGACAAGCATCCTTACATTTTCCTTTGTTCTTAGTAAGGGCAGGTCCCTGCTAACAAACTGCTCTTTTTTAACTATAAATGCTACAAATTCCTGGCTTTTACATCACTTGGAGAATGACTGTGTCATCAACATGGTCAGGGTTTTTTTTTTAATTAATATTTCTGGTATTACTGACAGGGTATTTGCAAGATCAAGAAAAGGGAAGTAACACTGCTGACTAAGCAGATCTCTCTAGACGGTCTAGAGATGCAATTTTTGGCATGTTGTGTTGAGGGGAAGGGTGAAAAATGTTGAGTGAGTGTAAGCTGAAACCCCACATTTATTTTAGGCAGCTGTGAACGCGAAACACGCAAACAGCATCAGAAGAGGACAGTGATCTGCAAATTTGAGTAAATATCTTTGTACTCCTGCTGGTGATGTGCATGTGTGTAGGAGAGGATCCTCAAGTAAACATGTGTGAATGGGTCTAGTTACCTCATATACAGCAGAGAGAGGGGAGCTGGATGGAGGAAGGGAGTTGTTGACAAAAAAGAAGAGTGCCTCCTCCGGTCTCAAAGACACACGCTGGCGGATCAGAAAACACAACTGGCCCACTTAAAAAAAAGGAAGGAAGAGGAGAGAGAGAGAGAGAGAGAATGGTCGGAGAGGGTTATGCACAGTAGTTTCGCTTCATGTCAAGAGACAAAAAAAGAAAGAAAAAAAAAAAAAAAAAAAAAAAAAATCACCCATGGCGAGATGGCCAGGTGGTCAGCCTAAACACACATGCAGTGACATTAAACCAAATAAGGTGTGAATAAGAAAACTACTATGAGATTCAATTAGACAGGTGAAAAAACTACAAACAAAAATGCAGAATACAAACTGTAGATCCACAACACCGAAGTTCTTGGAAAAAAAAGCCATTTGAAGTTTAAGCTACTCTGCTAGCTTCTTGCACTGTTAGTGCAGTGGTGTCACATGCACTAATAATGGGATTTGTGGAAAATAACAAAACCGGAGAAAAATAACAGGCTCTATCACTGGATTTTATGTATCAGATATTTTAAACTTCCAAATATCAGATCTCTATTTGCCTCAAAAGTTTTAAGGCAGTAATGGTCAAGATATATAGTAATAACCATTAACCTTAAACAGAACACCTCTTTCTAAACTGCTCTGACCTACAAGGTCAGCTGTTTCTTACAATGTGGAAAACTGTAAGATGCGACTGTGAGACTACTGGACGTGAGGGCTACTGTCAAGTAACTGGGCTTTTGAAGTTTGTGCATTTGTTTGTGTATTTCACCTGTTAAATCTGAGGGCACTAGGTATTTCTTCTTGTCCAGTTCAGGAGCTCTTGACCTTTGGGCCCTCTCCACAATAATCTGGTTGAAAAAAGTCCAAGAGGAAATAGTCAAACAGACAGACTATTGTCATAAACAAACATCTAAACAACAACAGTCACACAACTTTACAGTGAAATTATTTTAATAAATCACAGAGCTAGTATTTTATTTAGAAAACAAACTTTAAAAAAAAACTATAAGTACAGTGCCTTGCGAAAGTATTCGGCCCCCTTGAACTTTGCGACCTTTTGCCACATTTCAGGCTTCAAACATAAAGATATAAAACTGTAATTTTTTGTGAAGAATCAACAACAAGTGGGACACAATCATGAAGTGGAACGAAATTTATTGGATATGTCAAACTTTTTTAACAAATAAAAAACTGAAAAATTGGGCGTGCAAAATTATTCAACCCCCTTAAGTTAATACGTTGTAGCGCCACCTTTTGCTGCGATTACAGCTGTAAATCGCTTGGGGTATGTCTCTATCAGTTTTGCACATCGAGAGACTGAAATTTTTGCCCATGCCTCCTTGCAAAACAGCTCGAGCTCAGTGAGGTTGGATGGAGAGCGTTTGTGAACAGCAGTTTTCCACAGATTCTCGATTGGATTCAGGTCTGGACTTTGACTTGGCCATTCTAACACCTGGATATGTTTATTTGTGAACCATTCCATTGTAGATTTTGCTTTATGTTTTGAATCATTGTCTTGTTGGAAGACAAATCTCCGTCCCAGTCTCAGGTCTTTTGCAGACTCCATCAGGTTTCCTTCCAGAATGGTCCTGTATTTGGCTCCATCCATCTTCCCATCAAGTTTAACCATCTTCCCTGTCCCTGCTGAAGAAAAGCAGGCCCAAACAATGATGCTGCCACCACCATGTTTGACAGTGGGGATAGTGTGTTCAGGGTGATGAGCTGTGTTGCTTTTACGCCAAACATAACGTTTTGCATTGTTGCCAAAAAGTTCGATTTTGGTTTCATCTGACCAGAGCACCTTCTTCCACATGTTTGGTGTGTCTCCCAGGTGGCTTGTGGCAAACTTTAAACGACACTTTTTATGGATATCTTTAAGAAATGGCTTTCTTCTTGCCACTCTTCCATAAAGGCCAGATTTGTGCAGTATACGACTGATTGTTGTCCTATGGACAGAGTCTCCCACCTCAGCTGTAGATCTCTGCAGTTCATCCAGAGTGATCATGGGCCTCTTGGCTGCATCTCTGATCAGTCTTCTCCTTGTATGAGCTGAAAGTTTAGAGGGACGGCCAGGTCTTGGTAGATTTGCAGTGGTCTGATACTCCTTCCATTTCAATATTATCACTTGCACAGTGCTCCTTGGGATGTTTAAAGCTTGGGAAATCTTTTTGTATCCAAATCCGGCTTTAAACTTCTCCACAACAGTATCTCGGACCTGCCTGGTGTGTTCCTTGTTCTTCATGATGCTCTCTGCGCTTTAAACAGACCTCTGAGACTATCACAGTGCAGGTGCATTTATACGGAGACTTGATTACACACAGGTGGATTCTATTTATCATCATTAGTCATTTAGGTCAACATTGGATCATTCAGAGATCCTCACTGAACTTCTGGAGAGAGTTTGCTGCACTGAAAGTAAAGGGGCTGAATAATTTTGCACGCCCAATTATTCAGTTTTTTATTTGTTAAAAAAGTTTGAAATATCCAATAAATTTCGTTCCACTTCATGATTGTGTCCCACTTGTTGTTGATTCTTCACAAAAAATTACAGTTTTATATCTTTATGTTTGAAGCCTGAAATGTGGCAAAAGGTCGCAAAGTTCAAGGGGGCCGAATACTTTCGCAAGGCACTGTAAGTCTAACATATCATTACTGACCGGAATCTTGTCAGGGTGCTTGGCCCGAACTCTCTCTCCCTCTGCTCTCCTGACCTCTAGTGGTACTGAGCGCTGGTACGGACTGCCCATCTGAAAACAACACAAGAAAACATGAAGTCCCTCACAATAGCATTATTTACCAAGCAGATAAAGGAGAAAGAGCACTGGCTGTTTTCACCAGCCCATGGATTTAGTTATCAAGTGATACTGACAGCCTTAAGAGATGCAGGGATCTTTTAATCAGGTGTTCAGTATGACACAATATATATGACAACTGTAATTGATTTAGTATTATAGTATATACCAAGGCCACAATCCTTATACAGTGTATTTGGCTGTTTTCAGCCATTGTGAGGAGGGGTGCAAATCACCGAAAAAGGCTGCTTTATGGCACTATTGGATTTGCAGCATTTTTGCATCAATGTGATATATTTTTGAATGATTATTACTTTCACTGGCTTAAAGGATTAATCCATTATCAATGTGACTGACTGAATTGGTTAATCACTTGTGTTTTTCTCCAGCTGCAAATCAGTGAGGAAAACTGCTTTATGGCAATTCTTTAACAATACAATTAAAATTATTAATCTTGAAGTGTTTAATTTCAGCAATTGCAACTTTTTTGACAACCAACTAACAAATTCCATTGACAGTCAAGCAAAAATATTGGGGAAAAAAAGTAAAGCATTCTCTGACTCCAGCTTCTCAAATGAGATGATCTGGTTTTCTTCTTTGTCATATATCATGTGCAGAAAAGTTGTGAAGTTGTGATGGGCTTTTTTGTTTCATAACCTGAACAACTAATAGAAAAAAATATATAATAAAAATCATTTTAGATGCAGCAAGACATTCCAGTGCAGTTATATATACATATATATGTACATACAGTATATATATGGTCACGGACAACGGTCACAGTTGTTGGGTTCAGCGTAAAGTGATGCCACGTCACTGTTCACAGGAAAATCCTACAGCCATATATAGGCCATAATAATGATATAAACATCGCGAATCACTATAATTAATTAACTACCAACGGCTCTACATCCACGATATAGGTTAGCCTGTGCAATATGGTTTTGGTAGTTAACTAACAACTGTACGCGAATCAACTGTTAACAGTGCTAACAATGGCAATGCTATCAACTGCAGCTAACAGAGCAACAGTGTAAACATACCTTTGAAAGAGGCAAAACAACTTTCACTCGAAACTGGACAAATCCAGATATACTCCACTTGTCCCTTTTGTCTTCACGTTTATCAAAAGAATACTGGACAGAAAAATTTTAACTCACAATTCAGTCATAATGTCACAGAAATCGATCGAGTTCAAAGATGTCGCTTAGTCTACTTATACTGCAGCTGGACGAAAACAACAACAAATACCTTAAGGCCGGCCCACCAGATCTGTGACCAATTAGAGACAACCACTTTGATTGACAGTAAAATATGTCCATTCAGAGGGAATTAATGGCAGGTTAACTATCCATTCATTGGATAAAAACTGGTGTCTATCTACTGTTGTTACGGCCTTATTTTGCTTGAGTAATAGCACACATAACCAATAGTGGGAGTCAGAAACTGGGCCAATCTGCCGCAAGATCACGCCTATAGACACGCCTCAGCCATGTTACGTGTTTAACGTGCATTCCCTGTTCATAATTGTTGACAATCGGTACAAAACAGATCCACCAGACACGTATAACTCGGCTGTGGATGTGCCACAGTACTGCTGTGTAGGTTTTTGTAGTTATGTCTATAACTGTAGCGTAGTTGTGGAGACATTTCTCTCGAAATCACAAATGTAAACTTCATGGTGGTGCAAGATAAATAGTCTGAGGATCACCAAAGTCCTTTACCCTTTACAGCAAGGGTGTCAAATTCATTTTAGTTCAGGGGCCTAATTAGATGTCAAGTGGGCCGACCAGCACAATCATAGTATAATTACCTATAAATAACAATAATTCCATAATTTCCCTTTGTTTTTGTGCAAAGAAGCACAAGTACATTAGGAAAATCTTAATATTTAATTAAACATTCTTTTTAAAACATATCAGCAACAACCTCAGATTTATTACAACAAACATGTGCAGTTTGCTTCTGGGTATCATTTACATGCCTGCATTACAACTGGCCACAGTGTTTGTACAAATACAAAAAAAAAAACAGCCACAAATATTTGGAACTAAAAAATATAGTTTTGCACTTTAAAATGTATGACATTGCATGAACAATAGGATTCCACCAAACACTTTTGTAGTGAAGCTGTTGGCTTACATTAAATTTCACATTTTTAACTATTTCTCCAGCAAGGATTTATTTTCACAGAACTGTATTCTTTAAGTGCAATCAGTGTCTGAAGCAACATTTTGAAGGAGTTAGTCTCATCTAGAATACTTTGTTTTGGCTCCTGAAACTTGGAATCTTTTGGTCTGTGCAAGTGCATCAACATCAGGCATCACGTCCTGAGTAGCAGCCAGTCTCAGAATGTCATTTAAGTGCTTGTGTGTTAGCCTTGACCGCAATTTTGTTTTATTGATGTTCATTACTGAGAAAACTTGTTCACAAAGGTAGGTTGTCCCAAACATGCCCCAAAATTTTTGCAGCCAGGGCTGTTAATTTGGGGTATCCTGGCAAGAGATACTGATAAAATGTATCCAAGCCCACTGAGGCAAATTTGTCCTTCAAATCTGCATCACATTGCAGATCAGAATGAGGAAAATGAGAGGGAAAGAAGGGGGGAAGAGGTGACTATTGTAGAGCAGGAAGTAGCAAAGATTAGAAAGGATGAGGTGAGGAAGGCTCTGAGGAGAATGAAGAGTGGAAAGGCTGTTGGTCCAGATGACATACCTGTAGAGGTGTGGAAGTGTCTAGGAGAGACAGCAGTGGAGTTTCTATCTAGTTTGTTCAACAGGATTTTAGAGAGTGAGAAGGTGCCTGAGGAATGGAGAAGAAGTGTACTAGTGCCGATCAAGGGTGATTTGCAGAGTTGTAGCAACCACAGATGTATAAAGCTGATGAGCCACACCATGAAGCTATGGGAAAAAGTAGTGGAAGCTAGGCTAAGAAAGGAAGTGGATATCTGTGAGCAGCAGTATGGCTTCATGCCCAGAAAGAGCACTACTGATGCAATTTTTGCTCTGAGAATGTTAATGGAGAAGTATCGAGATGGTCGGAAGGAGTTGCATTGCGTCTTTGTGGATTTAGAGAAAGCATATGACAGAGCGCCGAGAGAGGAGCTATGGTACTGTATGAGGATGTCAGGAGTGGCAGAGAAGTACGTCAGAGTAGTTCAGGATATGTATGAGAGGAGTACGACAGTAGTGAGATGTGCTGTAGGTCAGACAGAGGAGTTCAAGGTGGAGGTGGGGCTACATCAAGGATCAGCTTTGAGTCCCTTCTTGTTATGGCTTTGCCGCTGCTTGTTGACAGGGTGTAGCTTTACCTGACTGACAGCTCACTGCAGGAGCTCATTGGCTTTTGAGACGTGATGGAGGACGGAGGCTCCGCCCCCTTCCCCTTCCTCTTCTCAGCCATTTCTGCTGCTGAAAAAAAAAATACAGATGCTTGAAAAGCAAAGCAAAACTTTTGGAGAGGTTTGTAGAGGACTAAGTCCAGCATGATAGTTTATATTCACATTGTTTAATCACATTTCATGTTTATTAGGATTAGGTCAACAGTCCAGTGTGATGGGGAGTGTAGGAAAGAGGGGAAGAGGCGAGTGCAGGCGGGTTGGAGTGGGTGGAGAAAGGTGTCAGGAGTGTTGTGTGACAGAAGAGTGTCAGCAAGAATCAAAGGAAAGGTGTACAAGACAGTAGTGAGACCAGCTATGCTGTATGGGTTAGAGACTGTAGCAGTGAGGAAAAGACAAGAGGCAGAGATGGAGGTAGCAGAGATGAGGATGTTGAGGTTCTCTTTAGGGGTGACCAGGATGGACAGGATTAGGAATGAGCACATCAGAGGGACAGCTGAGGTCGGCTGTTTTGGGGACAAGGTCAGCGAGGCCAGATTGAAATGGTTTGGACATGTGCAGAGGAGGGATAGGAGTTATATTGGTAGAAGGATGTTGGAGATGGAGCTGCCAGGTCAAGAGGTCAAGAGGAAGGCCAAAGAGGAGATATATGGATGTGCTAAAAGAGGACATGAAGTTAGTTGGTGTGAGAGTAGAGGATGCTGAGGATAGAGTTAGGTGGAAACAGATGATTCAATTTGGCAACCCCTAACGGGAACAGCCAAAAGAAGAAGAAGATTGCAGATCAGTTATTTCTAGTTGGATGTCGACAGGCATATCAGAAGCTTTGACTGTGAAGGGTGAGCGAAAAACTGCAAATTCTGTCTCGAGTTCACCAAAGACCAGAAATCGTTTCTCAAACTCCAACAGTAATCTCGAAATCTTGTCTTTTTTACTGTTTCATGTCAGTATTAATGCCTGTTGCACAAAGACAAGACACAGGGGAAATGGGCAGGGCCACCACTTGCCAGCTGTGTCTCCCACAAAGTCAGCTTCAACTTGAATGCTCATATGCTGTCATAAAACTGTGTGAGAAGTTTTTTGCAGCCTTGCAACATTTTGTTAAGAATATTCAAGTGCTCTGCAATATCCAACAGAAATGCAAGGTCCTGCAGCCATTCCTGAGATTGTAATTCCATCACTGGTTTTCCTTTTTTGTCCATGAACTGTCCGATTTCCTCTCGTAGATCAAAGAAACGCTTCAGCACAGCACCTCTGCTTAATCATCTTACTTCAGTGTGGTATGGTAGGCTATGGGTAGGAGTGCCGAGGGAGGAGCTATGGTACTATGTGACTTTCTCTGAGAAGGCAGTCAAACTGACAATGATTCAGGGCTCTGGATCGGATGAAATTAATAGTTCAGACAACCACCTCCATAACATGATCCATTTTTAACCACTTGCAACACAGTGCCTCTTGGTGCAAAATACAGTGAAATGTCCAGAAACTATCACCTCCAATAGTGGCTTTTTTTTTTTGTTTTTTTCCCGCCCCGTTTTGGTCACTTTATTTATTTACTATATGGAAAAGCATCATAAAAAATTATAATGAAAATATTTGATACACAAGTTTTTTCTTTATTGGAGCAACAAAATAAACAACCACATATAAGTATATTAATATCACCTTCACAGTGTTGGAGAGTAACCTTCGTGTGTTTCAGCTTCCACTGATCAGCAGGTTTGAGTCAAATCAGTCTGAGATCTGCTGGGATCAGCAGCAGGCTGAGAACACATAGTGGTGTCCCACATGTCAAACTGATATCTGAGCAGATTTGGACGGATAGTAAGACCATGCACACAAACTCTTCATATGTAGCCTCTGTACTACCATTCTGCTGTGTTTTATTTTACTGTAGCATATGTAATAAAACTACACAAAAAGAGTTTAAAAGACAGATTGAGATAAAAAACACAAATTTAGGGCATTTTAACCCATTCACTCCCTTGCACTTTTTTAACTATGTTCATTAATCTTCCTCTCAAGACCTCTTATTAGCTCCAAATATGTACTACACACTTTTTGTCTTTACTATTACTATTTTATCTTTTCTAATGTTGTATAGGTAAAGATCATAACATGCAAATAATTTACAAATCAGTGTAACAAGCTCTAAGGTCTAGTCGGCAGCAGTTTGCCAGTAGTGACCTCCTCACAGCCTTTTCTCCTGCTTTAGCAAAGCAGTACACAACTCAATGTAGTGCACACATGTTGTTTGGACAACCAACACAATATGTGAGGACTGGTTACCAGCTGTAACCTGATTTATTTACATATTATTCCATCAGTTAGAATGATTCAACTGGGAAAGGAGCTGTTCTGCATAATTAGTATTTTTACTTTTGATACTTTAAATGTATTTTGTAACCAGTACCAGTAAAAGCAAGGACTTTCACTGCACTATGTTTTATCTTGTGGTATGACTTGAATAAGTCTTCTACCACTAAGCAAGTTGACCTGTTTTGCTCATAAGCAAACAAATGTCATTATAATGCAGGCCTTGTTTACACAGCAGGTGAAAATATAAACAGTGGACTGACATACACTGTCTCTCCTCTGTCTCAGGTGTCACTCCTCTCCACATTGCTGTGGTGAATCAGAACATCAGTTTGGTCCATCACCTCATTAGTCATGGTGGTGATGTGGCTACACCTCGAGCCACCGGGCTGTACTTTCAGAAGAGGAGAGGAGGACTCATTTACTTTGGTGAGTCAGCATGAGCGAGCCTAAAATGTACAGGGTGGCTGAGTAATGACAAAGCTGATGCTTGATCCCCAAGCTCTTCCTGGCCACTTGTAGACATGTCTTTAGCAAGACATTAAACCCCAAACTGATTAATTAATTAATTGTATTGGAGCAAAGTGTTTTATAAATAAATGCATGTCATTGTGCTAAATAGCACAAAACGGATTCTGGTTTTCAAAATGTACATTTGGTCAACAGGTGAGCACATCCTGTCTTTTGCTGCATGTGGTGGGAACAAGAACATTATCTCTATGGTAATTGATGCAGGGGCCAGCACCAGGGTCCAGGACTACCTAGGTATGAAGAAGAGTATTATTTCATATGTGTTTTAGTCTGACAGTTCTTCTTGTTCCTCTTGTCTCATGTCTACTTTTTCCTCTTCTTGTCTTCTCTCTAGGCAACACAGTGCTTCACATTTTGGTTCTGCAGCCCAACAAGGTAGCTGCGTGCCAGTCCATCGACCTGATAATGACACGAGATGCAGAGCTGCAGGAGCCAGTGCCACTTGACATGGTGCCCAACCTCCAAGGCCTTACACCAATGAAAGTGGCTGCCAAAAAGGGAAACATTATGGTGAGTAAAGCATGAAAGGGCGCAAAGAGTAAAATCCTAACATGAAAGGTGGAGCAGAATATTTCACTATTTCTGTTCTCACTGTGTCTCTTTCAGGTCTTTCGACACCTGGTTAATAAAAGGCGTTTATTCCTGTGGCGCCGGGGCTCTTTTTCTTCTAAGCTCTATGACCTGACAGAGATCGATTCCTGGGCTGACAACATGTCAGTGCTGGAGCTTATTGTGAGGAGCCACCACAAAGAGGTACACTACAAAATATAGTAATTTGGGGAAATTATGGACTATTTGTTAGAAATAATGACATGGGTGTGATGCTTAAAAGAAATTCAACAGCTGTCATTTTGTTTCTGCCAGGCGATGTTTGATGCTTAAAAGAAATTCAACAGCTGTCATTTTGTTTCTGCCAGGCGATGTTACTACTGGAGGTGACCCCAGTGAAGCAGCTGGTCAGTCTGAAGTGGAACCTGTATGCAAAACATTACTTCAGGTAAAGTTTGACATGAGTCTCTGAAGTAAAATATCTGTTCATATCTGAGTCTTTCACATGTCCAGCCTTGTTTTACAGTGTTATATTTTCCTTTCTTGTGTCAGGGTGCTGATGATTGTGTATCTGCTCTACATCTCAATCTTCACAACATGTTGTTTTTATCGCCCTCTGATGGACATGCCGGAGAACTACTCAAAGCCAAGCTTAGACAAAACCATCTCATTCAAAACCATCTATATTCAGAAACCACTCAAGGTGTGTTGGAGTTATGACTTAAATTTATATATGCTTGGCCAGAAACAGATCTCAGCAGTAGTAGAATGTAACTAAGTAGTGTGTATTTACACAAGTACTGTACTTAGTACAGGGCAGCACGGTGGCGTGGTGGTTAGCGCTGTTGCCTCACAGCAAGCAGGTTCTGGGTTCGAGCCCTGGCTGACCTGGGGCCTTTCTGTGTGTTCTCCCCGTGCTTGTGTGGGTTCTGTCCGGGTGCTCTGGCTTCCTCCCACAGTCCAAAGACATGCAGCATGTCTCTAAATTGCCCATAGGTGTGAGTGGTTGTTTGTCTGTGTGTTAGCCTTGCGATGGGCTGGAGACCTGTCCAGGGTGTACCGGCGACCTGTCCAGGGTGTACCCTGCCTTTCGCCCGCAGCTGGCTGGGATTGGCTTCATGACTAACCGGTTTAGAAAATGGATGGATGTACTTAGTACACTTTTGAAGTATTTATAATTTATAAATAATTTTACTCCAGCTACTACTAGTTACTTTAAAGATTCATATTTCACCAGAAATAAAACAGAGGTTGCGTGTTGTATTGACCTTACTGGTTGTACTTTATGTCTGTGTCAATGACAAACTATATATAACACATTCTAATACTAGTGTATACTAATATGTTTCAATATTAATACAAACATTTCATTTTCCCATGTTTCAGGAAAGTTATGTGACACATCAGGACCAAGTGCGACTGGCAGGCGAGATCGTCAGCCTCCTGGGAGCTGTTGCCATTTTGTTGCTTGAGGTGTATTTATGAAACGTGCTTCTTCTTCTTCATACATGCTGTATCCTATATTACACTGTACTGCACATACACATCCTGCCTTGTCCTGTTTTCCAACAGGTCCCCGATATAGCGAGATTTGGTGTAAAGCGTTATTTTGGCCAGACAGCACTGGGAGGCCCCTTCCATGTCATCCTGTAAGTACAAACTCCTCTGAGCAGTAAAATGAAGCCTGCTGTGTTGAAAACCCTTCTGACTTTTCTGTTGCTGTTGTGATCAGTATCACCTTCGCATGTTCGGTACTGTTGCTGCTGGTGTTCAGAGTCTGTGATGTGCAACGAGAAGGCGATGTGATGGCAGTGTGTTTGGTTTTCTGCTGGTGCAATGTCATGTTCTTCTCTCGAGGATTTCAACTGATTGGTCCTCATGTCATCATGGTACAGAAGGTAGGAGACAGCTCAGCCTGGACACAGACAAGAGTTCATTAGTAAAGTGGGAAATCCGCCTTGTTCCAAATGAACTTGTAATTAAATGTTTTGGAAGCAGATGTGTTCATTTCTTGTTTACATTCCTGTTCATCTATTACTGTTTTCCGACTGCACCTTGTGTCTCATTTGTCCATAGATTATACTTGAAGATCTGGGAAGGTTTATGTGGCAGGAGTTCATTTTCTCACTTGCTTTTGCCAGTGGTAAGTATAGTCTGTGGAACCACACCTAGCAAGCCTTTAAGACTCACAAGGCTTCTCAGCTAAGAACTTGTTAAAATTAGAAATTTCAGCAATGCAGATCTTGTTTGCTTTTTCTGGTTTCCTTCTCAGGCACTTGGATAATTTATATGACCCAGGACCCTGCTGCTCTGCCTACATATGTCAACTTCCCCATTACTCTCTACTCTGAGTATGAGTTTGGTTTGGGCATGATAAATCTACCTTGGGACCCCACCATCTATGCGCCCCCAATCATTTACGTGTTTCTCATTGTCTTCTCAATAATCGCTGGCATCCTTTTTGTAAATCTACTGATAGCCATAATGACTGACACAGAGTGGAAGGTGGTCAAAGACAAAGATCTGCTCTGGAGAATTCAGGTAACCCACACAGGACTTAAAAAGAATTCATCTACAGGCATATACAGTCTTATGCAAAAGTTTAGGCACCCCTTGATAAATAACAGATTTTGGTGATTTTTTATTTGAACAGATGTTAACACAGTTTCTCTTGGAAATAGAAAAAATGCACAATATTTTCTGCAAACAGTGATGCATAGTTACTTCTTATGCCATAAATTGAACAAAAATAAAAAATAAAAACATTATTATGGCATGGTGCAAAAGTTTGGGCACCCTAAGAGTTCCAGAGTCTCAAAGTCTCTCACAAGGTATCAGACCTTAATCAGCTCGTTAGATCTGATGCACAGCAACAGCTGTCATTGGTAAATGCCAATTTCAAAGCTGTACAAATACTTTGACTCTTCAAACCTTGTGCACACACTTGTGGACACCCAGCAACCATGGGTTCCTCTAAGCAGCTGTGTAAGACCCTGAAAATGAAAGTTATTGACGCCCACAATGCAGGAGAAGGCTACAAGAAGATAGCAAAGCGTTGTCAGCTTGCAGTTTCCACAGTAAGAAATGTAATTAAGAGATGGCAGATCAGGGGAACTGTGGAGGTCAAGATGAGATCTGGAAGACCAAGAAAACTCTCGGACAGAACTGCTCGTATGCTGGTCAGAAAGACAAATCAAAACCCCCATTTGACTGCAAAAAACCTGCAGGAAGATTTAGCAGACTCAGGAGTGGTGGTGCACCGTTCCACTGTGCAGCGATGCTTGCACAGACAAGGCCTTCATGGAAGAGTCAGCAGAAGAAAACCTTATCTGCGTCCCCATCATAAAATCCAACGTCTGAAGTATGCAACAGGACATCTACAGAAGCCCGATGCGTTTTGGAAACAAGTGCTGTGGACTGATGAAGTTAAAATAGAACTCTTTGGACACAATCAGCAAAGGCATGTTTGGAGAAAAAAAGGAGCAGCATTTCATGAAAAGAACACCTTGCCAACTATTAAGCATGGGGGTGGATCTATCATGCTCTGGGGTTGTGTTGCAGCCAGTGGCACAGGAAACATTGCACGGGTGGAGGGAAGAATGGATTCCACTAAATACCAGCAAATTCTGGAAGCAAACATCACACCATCTGTAAAAAAGCTGAAGCTGAAAAGAGGATGGCTTCTACAACAGGACAATGATCCTAAACATACCTCGAAATCCACTATGGAATACCTCAAGAGACGCAGGCTGAAGGTTTTGGAATGGCCATCACAGTCCCCTGATTTAAACATCATTGAAAATTTGTGGGTAGATCTTAAAAGAGCTGTGCATGCAAGACGACCAAAGAATATTACAGAACTAGAAGCCTTTTGCAAGGAAGAATGGGAGAAGATCCCAAGTACAAGAATTGAAAGACTTTTAGCTGGCTATGAAAAGCGTTTGCAAGCTGTGATATCTGCCAGAGGAGGTGTTACTAAGTACTGATTGTGTAGGGTGCCCAAACTTTTGCACCATGCCATAATAATGTTTTTATTTTTTATTTTTGTTCAATTTATGGCATAAGAAGTAACTATGCATCACTGTTTGCAGAAAATATTGTGCATTTTTTCCATTTCCAAGAGAAACTGTGTTAACATCTGTTCAAATAAAAAATCACCAAAATCTGTTATTTATCAAGGGGTGCCTAAACTTTTGCATAAGACTGTATAAATGCACAGAAACATTTTATTATGTCCCTGTGCGTTGCTGTGTCACAGTAAAAGCTATATGGATGCTGTGCAGGTGGTGTCTACAATTTTAATGCTGGAAAGGAAGCTGCCACGCTGCCTGTGGCCTCGTTTCGGAGTATGTGGGCTAAAATATGGCCTGAAGGATGCCTGGTATCTCAGGTAAGAGAGTCCTGCAGTGCCAGGAACAGAAACAGGGGCATGTGAAAAAAATTAAAAGAAAATGAAAACATATCAGTTTACACTATATCTGAAGTGGAGTGACGTTAAAAAGCTAGTCTGACTATTTTAACTACAAATAATCACATGGGGAGAAACAATTTTGTCCACTCATCACAACCTCAGTAGCCACAAATCAGGGTACAACTCTCACTCTCTACCGATACTGCAAGTATTATCACTCTCCCACATATTAACTTTTGTAGTCTACATGTGTAGGTGGAAGATGATAATGGTAGCCCACTACCAGTAAGAGAGTGAGAGCTGTACGTCTTACTCAAAACACAGCATGACATGTAGCTGCATCACATTGAGGGTTAGGTTGGGGTCAGTACATAACCATGTTTCTTATAAGGAAATCAGCAAAAATGTTGATCTATTCTTCTAAACATGCCAAATCATGGGTTATCAAAATGTCATAACACTAAATAACTTAAATAACTGTAAAATAAGACTTTACAGTTTAATGGTATTCACTGTGTCATGAATCATCTGGGACTGCTGGTTTACTTTATTATCTTTGCAGGCTTGAGGAGACAAACTACAGAGTAATGCAAAATTTGAGACGATTCTACCCCAGAGGGGATGAAAAGAAGAAGGGGAAACTGGACAAGACTGCCCCAGTAAAGGAGATGGTCTTACAATTAATTAATCCTAAACCTACAAACATAAATGGGGAGACACTAGAAGGCTGGCCGCTGCTTCGCCACATCATTTTGGATTTGGAGTAGGAAGCAGGAGAATGGCTTTAACCCTATAAATACAGTAGGATAAGATTCTGCCTGTGAGCCTGATGTGCATTTTCATTTTCTGAGGACTCCCATCATCTCAGCCCTGAACATATTGATGGATTACAATGAGCAAAGCTGCAATTGAAAGATTCAAGTGTCTCAGTTTCTCTGTATGGTCACAGTGCAATTATTCCTGCAGTATTATGCTATGGATTGTATTTTACCATCATATAGAAATATAATATGCAGCAGTAATATGCTCAGCTAAAATAAAGTGAAACATAAACAGTCAACTTATTATGTAGTTGCATGAACATTTTAATCATATTTTACTGGAAAACGCCATACAGCAGTATGAGGAATCAAACAGTATACTTATAAGCACTGTCAATGACTTTAGAACACAAATGACGCTACACAATGCTGTAAAAACGTATAACCTCCAAAAATCTAATGAAATCTCAGTGATCTTATTCAATGGCACATCCCAGTTAGATCTCTTAGATCTTCATCTTTGTATCCTCTAAAGGTTCCAAGATCCCATCACAAATGATAAGGTGATAGGGCTTTTTCCATTGTGGCCCAAAAACCTTGGTATAATTTGCCTTTTAATATTAGATCTGTTACAGATTTGGCTGTGTTTAAATTTCTCTTTAAGACCCTTTTATTTACCAAGGCTTTTAATTCTTAATGGAGCCTGATATTTATTGTTATTGGCTCTTATTTTAATTTATTGTTTACTTTCTGTTTTAATGTTTTTAATTAAGCTTTTTTTCTGTTTATTGTGTGAAGCACTTTGGTTAACAAGATGTTGTTGTAAAGTCCTATATAAAAATTTTTTTATTAGATTTGATTTGAAACACCTCAAAAAGTATTAAAAAGATTTAGGTGTGAAATTCAAATAGAAATGATTTGATTTGATATGTTACTGAAGAGCTGATAAACATTGAAAAAGAACTGGTTTGCTCATTATTCTTTTAGAGAAGACAACTTAAGTTGACAAATAAAGCAGATATATACAGTATCTATCTATCTATCTATCTATCTATCTATCTATCTATCTATTAAATCACACAGTGTACAAGTGGCTCTAAGCAGAGATGTTTGTGTGTATACATTGTCTCATCCGTTTTAGGTAGGGTAGGGTTGGCATTCCTTTTGGAAGCATTTTTTGTTATATTTCTTGAAATTTGCTTTTCATCCTGGTGGCAATGAATACACTGTCAACGTAAAGAAAAAAATCCGTCATCTTTGGCAGCAGGGCTGAAAAACCCTGACCAATAATTGTATTCGTCCCGAGCAAGACCATTGGATGGCCTACCTGCCTGTCAACCTAACTTACTATAACGTGCACTCTGCCTGGGCACTAAATGCGCGGAGGCAAGAGTTTCCACAAGGCGTTGCAGCTGAAGGAAGAGGCATTACATCTTTGTTTTATAGCTAAAGGTAGCGAGCTATGACAGCGAATGTACCCACAGCAGCTTTCGTTCACAGAGACTGTTGTTACTGGCCAGGCCTCCCCCTATAAGACATAGGTAATGTTGTTGTTGTTACTAGAAGTTGCGACATGTGTGCACAGTATGAGAACGAGAAGACCGCTACATGGAACAGACTCCTTTTACATGCAGCCAGACAGTAGTCAGCTTTAAGTGTATGGATAGGATTGTAATGCAGTTAATTTGGCCTCAGAGGCTACACGCAGTGTTCATGTTACCAAGACAGAATAAAACCTGTGTTTTGAATGGCGTAAACTGCCGGAAAAGCCCAGACTTAGAGGGCTAGTTACCCTACAAGCCAGGACTAGAGCAGCTTGGCCATGAGCCAGAGTTCCCCAGGTATGGTTCAGGGTCACAGAAAGCTACAGTAAGTCTGGCAGTGCGCGTTGTGTGTTGGAGGAGCGGCTTTTTCCAGCAAATCCCCACTTTTAAGCATTATGATGTGCAGTAACCAAGGTGAAACTTAATACTTTGAAAACAGCCAAATACATAAAAGATCATGTTTAAATCTCTTAATGCTATAATACTTCCAATCAAACAGTGACAGTAAGCCAAACGGGTGGATTGCTAAGAAAATCATTGTTAGAAAGATTTAAAAAAAATAGCTACAAACATTTTTGCTAGCAGTTACAATAATTTGCAGTTTTTGCAACTACAAAATGTAGATCCACTGAAGTTCTTAATAAACTGGCCGGCTGAACCTTGCACAGTTTCACTGTCTAGCTGTTTCCCAGCAGACATACTAACTAGTGACAACAGGAAAAGCACAGGTAGAATCAATAACATTATCATGGCTCAGCTCCATTAAGTGTCCCCAATAGAGGAGTGCAGTGATCATAAATCATATATAAAGACAGATTAGTGTCGCCCTGATTGGCGTATGGAGGTTTCAGTGTGTCCGCTGTTTCTTACAATGTGAAAAAGTAAAACTGAGATGTGACTAGGTTGAGAAAATACTGGATGTGAGGGTTACTGTCAAGTATAAAACTGGGCTTTTGAATGGTTTGTATTTGTTTGTGTATTTCAGCTGTTAAATCTGAGGGCACTATTTCTTCTTGTCCAGTTCAGGAGCTTGTGACCTTTGGGCCCTCTCTACAATAATTTGGTTAAAAAGATCTAAGAGAAAATAGTCATCATAAACCTTGAAACTGTTGTCATGAACTAACATCTAAACAACAACATAAATTCACATAACTTTACAGTATTTTTTTAATCACAGAAGTAGCATTTTATTTAGACAACTAACTTCTAATAAAAGTAAGTAATTGTGATTATCAAATGTACCTTCCTGGCCCATAATTAACCCACCCACCACATCGGTGACCAATCAGAGATGAGACAACATAATGTGCCCATTCACAGGGAACCAAATGCAGGTTAACTCTGCGTTCAGTGGATGAATACCTGTTTCCATCTAGTTGTTCCAGCCTCATTTTACTTGAGCGATGGTATATATAACTAGTACGTGGACCATGAATGTATTATGAGGACTCAGAAACTGGATTATGCTGGCACAGCATCACACCTTGCTGTACTCATGCCTCAGTGAGGCCATGTGCTTAATGTGCATTTTTTCATTATTCTGCACTTTGTTCTGTACAAACAGATCCAGAAGGCACATGAAACTCATAAACACTTGCTGTGAACCCATAACATTACTGCATTGTATGATGTTGCACTTATTTCTAAAAAGAATTACCAAAAAGTGATTTAATGGTGAATGAAACCAGCCTCCTCTCACTCTCAAGACATGCACAGTGTTGAAATGTACTTTTATTCCCTCAATCTGAATTTTTTGAAATGTCCTGTGTAACCTTTTAAACTCTGCATGTCTTTGGGTGGTTTTGTTGTACTTTTTTTTCTGTCAGCTCCCCTTCATGCAGAGACCAAAAAACTGTTTATATCCTTATTACTACATAGTGTTTGGTGACAGCATGTGATTCGCAGTAGAGTACTACCCAGCATCCTCCTGGCTGTACTCTAGTAATCACCCAATAACTGAAACACTGGTGTGGGTCTGCAAGGCCTTTAACAACTCTAACTTTGTGCATTTGTGGGAACAAACTGAAATGTTCAAAATACAATCTTTCCACTATTACAATTAGTAAGTAAGATTCTCCTGCACAGAGGAACGTAGTTATGGTCAACTAAACCTAGAGGATTACTTTTGCCCCATCAGCTACTAGTGGTAATTAACTGCATTCACCTGGGATCCAAGCTGCAAGTTCCTGATTAGATAGACAGCTTGTTAGTATACTAAGCTTTACAATTTAGCATTAAAGGCAATGTACAACTGAGGATAATGGGAATGCCATTAGTTTCGCATTTAGTCTTGAACCTGTCAGGTTTGCCCTGCTGCACCTGCCTTTCTCACTCCCCTCACTCTGTTTTTGCTCCCTTACCTTGATTACGTTATCCGACACACCTGCTTCATATCCCCTGATTACCACCAGCTGCACCTGATTAGTTCTCCCTATTTATTCCCTGCTCTACGTTCACTCCCCTGCCAGTTCTTTCTAGTATCATCAGGCCCGTTTGTTTCCCG